GAGGTGGGTGCTGAGGGCAGCCGTGGGTGTGAGGAGACGAGGTGGGTGCTGAGGGCAGCCGTGGGTGTGAGGAGACGAGGTGGGTGCTGAGGGCACCCATGGGTGTGAGGACCCGAGAGGTGCCGCTGAGGGCAGTCATGGGTGTAAGGAGGCTGAGTATGGTGCTGAGGGTGGCTGTGATTGGCGGCTGTCATTACAGAGTACCCTCAGCTCAGGCCTCCCTCATCACAGGCCCCCCTCACCACAGGCCCGCAGGAATGCCCTTTGCATCCAGGCCTGTTCACTCTTAGGGCCACTCCTCTCCCGGGTTCTACTGTTGCCCACCATTCTATTCTGTACCTTAAAGCAAGACAAGGTTCCCCCAAAAATCATTCCTCAGGAAAGAGAGCATCTCCCTATAGCTGAATCCTTACAAAGTCTCGTATTATAGGGTGCTCATTCATTTATCTATTTTGAACACTAAAGCACTGTTTAGGACAGCGAGTTCACCTTAATGACCTCATCAGGCCTGCTTTGGGCTGTGTGTAGAGGTTACCTGATGACACAGTAGAAGGGGCAGACATTTGGCCCACGTTTAGCAATGTCCCTCAGGGCCTAACCTCGTGTTGCCAGTGTTAGACATCAGGGCAAGGGAGCCTTGTCAATACCGCTGTAAAAGTAAAACAGAGAATGTCATATTTTACTGATCACAGTGTGCCTACGGGACCAATAAAATAAGTCACCCACCCTGGTGTCATGTGAGTGACTACCTGTGGCTGGGATAGAATTGTGGTGACAGCATCATAGCTGATTTCACAACTGCCATGTTATCGCAGACAATGTAGGCCGAACTGAAGATGACGTGCTGTGAAAATCTGTTAGATCAAGAAGGTATTCTTGTGACACTGAAGACTCTGGTGTTGCAGATGCATATGAAGAGTTCAAATAAAATTGTTTTTCTGAAGTGGGAGAGTGGAGAAAAAGCTTTATTTCAAAATTAATGTATTTTATATGTGATTTAAAATGTGTATGTATTAGTAATTAGGAATTCTGGAACACTTAATTGCGCTCATGAGGAACCCGTACTTAGACCAAGAGGCAGTCGTTCGAATAGAACAAGGGGATACTGCATAGTTTAAAGTCAGGAAAGGTGTGCGTCATGGTTGTATCCTGTCACCATACTTATTTGGTCTCTATGCTGAGCAAATAATCCGAGAAGCTGGACTGTATGAAAAAGAACCTGGCATCACGATTGGAGGAAGACTCATTAACAGCCTGCGAGATACAGATGACAACCTTGCTTGCTAAAAGTAAAGAGGACTTGAAGCACTTACTGATGAAGATCAAAGACTACTCCTTCAGTATGGATTACACCTCAACATAAAGAAAAAAAAATCCCCACAACTGAACCAATAAGCAACATCATGCTAAACAGAGAAAAGATGAAGTTGTCAAGGATTTCTTTTTACTTGGATCTACAATCAACGCCCATGGAAGCAGCAGTCAGGAAATCAAAATCAAATTTGCATTGGGTAAATCTGCTGCAACAGACCTCTTTAAAGTGAAAAAGCAAGGATGTTACCTTAAGGACTAAGGTGCGCCTGACCCAAGCCATGGTGTTTTCAGTCACCTCATATGCATCCGAAAGCTAGGTAATGAATAACGAAGACCAAAGAAGAATAGCTGCCTTTGAATTATGGTGTTGGTGAAGAATATTGAATATACCCTTGTCTTAGTCACCTAGTGCTGCTCCAACAGAAATACCACAAGTGGATGGCTTTCACAAAGAGAAATTTATTTTCTCACAGTCTAGTAAGCTAGAAGTCCAAATTCAGGGCGTCAGCTCCAGGGGAAGGCCTTCTCTCTCTGTCGGCCTTCTCATCAGTGTTCCCCCGGACTAGGAGCTTCTCCGTGCAGGGACCCCGGGTCCAAAGGACACGCTCTGCTCCTGGCATTGCTTTCTTGGTGGTATGAGGTCCCCCAATTCTCCACTTGCTTCCCTTTCCTTTTATCTCTTATAAGAGATAAAAGGTGATGCAGGCCACACCCCAGGGAAACTCCCTTTATGTTGGATCAGGGATGTGACCTGGGTTAGGGTGGTGTTACAGTCCCACCCTAATCCTCTTTAATGTGAAATTATAATCACAAAATGGAGGACAACCACCCAACACTGGGAATCATGGCCCAGCCAAATTGATACACACATTTTTTTTTTTAATTGTACTTCAGGTGAAGGCTTACAGAACAAATAGTTTCT